TCTCTCTCTCTCTCTCTCTCTCTCTCTCTCTCTCTCCCCTCCAATTCAAGTTCATTATTGAGTATTGTGTAAAATAGCGTTTTTAAGCTATTAATACATGTAACTGTATTACTGTATTACAAATATAACCCTTATTTCTGTGGCCATTCGCACCTATTTTCCAATTCCATATAAAATAATTTCCAATTCATTAAAAAAGAGCTGACATTTATTATCCAATGTTTTACACATGTCTTTCATTTAAATTATAAATATTTGTCTACATTTCGATTATGTATTGTTAAGAGTTTTTATGAAAAATTAAATTATAAGAAAAACAAACACTTTATTTGTGTTTTCATTCATCGGTGTCGTCAGAGTCCTCGTCATCGGAGATATATCTCTTGGTCTGTCGAGCCATTCGAGGTTTGTTGCGCGAAGTGGACGCTTCTGAAGACCTGGATTTGCATTTCATTTTCATCTTCATCTTCAAATTCGAGTCGTCGTCGTCGTCCTCTTCCTCTTCAGCGTCTTCTTCGCCCTAACATACAAACCATAGCAACCATTATATGGAATCATTAGTCATATACTTAGCATTCAAGGGCTAACATGAGTACAAACCTCGTCGTCGTCTTCATTGTTGTCGTTGTTGTCTTCGGCGAAGGACTCGTCATTCTTCTCGAAGTTCTCTCTGGCTTTAGTGAACACGGATTGCAACATAATTGAGTCCTCATAGATGAGCGATCCCTCCACGTTATAGGTCTGGGCGTTGCGACACAACTGCATGAAGTCTTCCTGAAGATCGTCTAAACCCCTGTACCTATGATTCGAGATCCGACTCTTGATTTTCTTGATGTCAACCGGTTTTCGGATCACTTCATAATAATCGGGCAATTCTTTACGAGACGGCAGTTCGAGGAAAGCTTCGGACAGAACTCTATCATCAGAATCGACATAATTGATGACAAAACTGAGCAATTTTTTCATTTTTGCCAATAATTTTGGTGGGTTTGGGGGGTGTTTCTCGAGTGTAGGTCTGCCCCTCTTCTTCTTGGTTTGAGGGGTGGGCTTCTCGTCGTCATCGTCGTAGTCATAAGCCTTGCGTTTCTTGCCCTTCCCTTTGCCCCCTTTCTGACGCTTTGTAGACCGAGTGCTCACTTCGAGTTCATCCAAATTGCCGTCTTCTATGGCTTTAAGCCATTGCTTTTCAGTCAAAGAGTCGCTATAATCCACTTCTTTGCGCTGTCGGGAACCGCGACCGAACAGTTTGTCATCCTCTTCCTCATGGGTGAGCCGCTCCACTTCGGCGTCGTCTTTGATGAGCCAAACGGGCATTTCGTCCTCTTCCATGAGGCGAGGCCTGCGCTTTATACTGCGCGCCTCATCCCTGCGCCGGTCAATGTCCATCTTCTGGAACAACTCAAACTCCTCCTCACTTCTGGCAATCATTTGATTGATGGTCTCGTCGTCCGGAACCTCATTCTCGTCTTCCTCTTCGTCCTGTTCGTCATTTTGAAGGATTGCCTAACAATTCAAACACAATCACCAATTAATGTCAATTACTGCCATTCATTCAATACAACACAATATCAAACATTTGCAATACCTGTAGGAATTGTTTGCGCTCGTGTCCGGTCGACTTCTGGTCAAACATTCCCGCCTGAATCACCTTCTCATCCAAATTGAGTTTATACTTAGCGGCGGCGAGAATGCGCTCTTCAACTGAGTTGACGGTCACTAAACGCAAGACTCGCACTTCGTTTTTCTGACCGATTCGATGAGCCCTGTCCTGAGCCTGAAGGTCCTGATGTGGGTTCCAATCCGAGTCGAATATAACCACTGTATCGGCCGCCTGTAGATTCAGTCCCAGTCCTCCCGCGCGAGTCGACAACAAAAATACAAAATAATTAGAGTTCTTGTCGTTAAAGAGCTCGAGAAGTTGTCCCCTGTCTTCTGCTTTTGTGGTGCCGTCGAGTCTAAGGTATGTAAAGCTCCGGTAATTGAAATAGTCTTCCAATATAGTCATGGCAGTAGTCATCTGACAAAAGAGCAAAACCCGATGGTTTGTTGCCTTGAGTTTGGGCAGAATCCTGTCCAACAGCTCAAACTTGCCCGACGCCCGGAACAGGTCAGGTCCGGACACTATTTTGTCCGCCTGTCCCAAGTGGTCGGCAAAGGCCTCCTCTATGTGTTGGAACATAAAGGGATGGTTACATATCTTCCTTAACTGCATGATTGAGTTCATCAGAGTTCTGGTTCCGCCCTTTCCTTTCTTGTCCTTTTCCGAGCCGTCCGTCAAAAGGACCCCTAAAAGTGTCGGTCATTACAAACAACTCAATAATCATTAATCGTATAATCGTTTTGATAGTCACATACCTTTGCTCTGCATATGTCTGTAAAGGAGGCGCTGAAGTGCAGACATATCGCACTTTACACAATACTCCACTTTGTCTGGCAGTTGACTCTCCACTTCTTTCTTAAGTCGTCTCAATAGAAAAGGTCTCAAAACTTTATGCAAACGCCGTATAATAAGAATAGTCTCCTCTTCATTGAGCTCAACCTTCTCGCCAGTGGTAGCAAAGGGTGCGTTAAACCACTGTTCAAATGTATTGCAACATTTGAATATCGAGGGCAACAAAAAGTTCAATAGAGCCCAGAGTTCGGGTAATTTGTTTTGAAGCGGAGTTCCGGTGAGGAGTAGGCGATGAGGGGCTGAATAGTGTGTATTAAGGATTTGGGTGAGTTTGCAGTGATGGTTCTTCATGCGATGGCCCTCATCGATGATCATGTATTTCCACCTAAGTTTGGCCAGTATTGCCTTATCTTTGATTACATATTCATAAGTAGTCAACAAAACGTTAAATTTGCTTGACTTCAGATTCGTTGATATAATTCGGCGCACATTTGGAGAGCCTATAATCAAGTGAACAAATGGTAAGTAGTGGTAAGAATGTAGGTAATACTATTTGCGAGTTGGCTAAGCATTACCCTTATATGCAACTTTGATAACAGTGGGCGCCCAGCGGTCAAACTCAAGCATCCAATTAGACATTGTGGAGAGCGGAACAATGATCAGATAGGGGCCATTATTACGCTTGTGTTCAATCAAATGGGTTATCAATGCAATCGTCTGTATAGTCTTCCCTAAACCCATCTCATCGGCCAAAATGCCATTCAAATTGTTGTTATACAGAGAAACCAACCATTCGAGACCTTTAACCTGATATGCCTTAAGCGTGCCATTGGTTATAATAGTGGGCTGTTCTGTGATCTGCTCTCTGATGCCGTGAGCGATGTTATAGTAATTAATATTGTCGGCCAAGTCTTTGTTGTACTCGTCGTCTTCGGCAGAAACGGCTGCGCCCGGCTTTTGTTCCGGATTTCGCAGCTGCTGTACCATCGCTGCCGTTATCTGTTCCGCCCTCTCCTCGTCCTCACTCGCGTCGTACTCCTCTTCGTCATACTCCTCATAGTCTTCGTCTTCATCTCTGGGCGCCTCAACATATCCCGGATGAACATCAAGCCATGCCTTGAGCTGAGAGGCCACCGGTGCCTCTTTACCGGTGATGATATTGCCCTCGGGATCCATTACATTCACGTGAATCTCCGAGTGCTGCGAACTCTCGTCCAAAACACCTAAAAAGTCATCGCATATACAATCGCTTAAATACATTCTATCACTTGATTCACTTCTTCATACCTTCAGAAAGTGAAGAGCTGTTGGGATCAGCGGTGGAGTTAGCGTCGAGTTTGGCCTCTTCGGGCGCCTTCTTCTTCTTCACTTTGCGTCTCTGGGATCGTCTCTTCCTCTTCTGCTCGTCTTTGTGCTGCCGAACCATATCTGTTAAGTTCTTAATGTATTCGTCGGTCTGCGATAAGAGGAAAGCGAGGCGTTTGTCCTTCTTCTGGTCGATGAGTTTGCGATAGCCCTCCTCGTCCTCAGCCATGAGCCGCCGCATGCGCTCCTTCTCGACCCTCTCCTGTTCCTTCTTCTGCTCCCTCTCGGTGTTGGCGTGATATACGGCCACAGCTTTGTTCACTTTCGACACTTTGACTAAAGTGTTTCTGTGGTAATCCTTGAAGTCCTTTGCGTGTTGGAGCACAGCGTTGAGGTACTCCTGATGTTTCTGCCGTCGTTTGCGGTCCTGTTCTATCTTCTGTTGTTTCTCCAACTTCTCGGTAATCCTGGCCTCTCGTAAACCAATACGTTTGGTTCGTTTGTATAGCTTTGGATTCAAACCCGTCTCCAAAGTGGTGTCTCTTCTCATACACGCAACCTATCATTCAGACATTAGACGGCATAACAATCACTGCAGTCAATACCATCAATACATACCACTTCTTGTCTCAACTGTTTCTGGAAGTTCAAGAGTCTGAGCGCTCGTAATTCGATCATAGCTTTGGTGCGCATGTCTTGGGCCAAACTCGCGGGAAGAGTTGACAACTGTTGGATGCGATGCGCGATTCGCTGAGAGATACGATTCTCGCGTTCCTTCAGGATCTCAATGGGATCGATGCCCACAGGTTTGGCCACAGGTGTGACGCGATTCTGCTTCTGCTGCTGGAGCTGAGCCATCATTCCCTGGTATGCGTTCATCTGCTGCTGAGACATCGACGGCCCGTTCGCCGACTCATTCATTAATGGCGGCGGCATTGATGGCATTGATGTGCCGTTCACTGGCGTCGGACCACCAATTGAACCACCAATTGCTTGTGGAGACGGACCAGACATCGCACTCTTGTTACCTGTTTGCGAGTTCTGTACTGCCATTTGATTCACATGATTGCCACCCATATTAGGCGGTGGAAGCGTTGCAACCTGTGATGAAGCCATCAGTGGCGGCGGTACTTGTGGTGGTAATGGAGACATATGTGTAGTCATTGTCTGCTGCGGGGGCGGCACAGGGGGTCCAACAGGTGGCGCATTGGGCGGACCCATTGGCAAACGTATCATCTGTTGTGATGGATCTGTTGGTGGTCTCCACTGTTGTGGCATTTGTTGCTGAGGAGGGGGTGGAGGGGGCGGACCCATGGGTTGCAATTGTGGTGAAGAGGGTGCGGAGGGAGTGATGCGTTTGCCCTGAATGGCAGCCGTGATGTGGTCAGGGATGGGCTGATTGCGGGCCAACAGTCGGTACGCCATAATCTGATACCGCAATTGATTCACTTGTTGTCCATTGAGTTTGCTTTCATTCTGCGGGAACTGTTGGGCGCCGGCAGTCATGTAATCGCCATTCAATGGAGACATGGATTGTGGCGATTGAGGCGGCGGTGGAGGCAATAGTTGTTGCGATTGTGGCGGTGGCTGTTGTGGGGGGTGTGGAGGGTGTGGGGCGTGAGGGCCCTGAAGAGGTGGTCCCTGTAGTGGTTGAGAGGGCCCAACCGGTTGTGGTTGTGGTGGCGCTGAATGAGAGTACTGTTGGTTGTGTTGATTGTGTGGCCCGTAATTCATCATCAGTTGATTGATTGGAGGCATTGCTGGCATCGGAGGGCCCGCCAACTGCTGCGGGGGAGGCGTGCCGTACGGCACCGGAGGCGTCGACATGTGTTGACAATTGTCACTCAATTGATCCAAACATTGAGTTACAATTCAATACTCAATGATTACACTTTTATTACACTTTTATTCACACAAATGACACACAAATGGCGATACAAACCAAACAATGAATCCCACAATAGCTTCACATCAATCACGACATCAATTACGACATCAATTGTTTGGCAAACAGTTATGTAAGTATACATACCCTGTATTGAGTGGTCATATCATACATGTATTGCACATACAGTACATTCTATATTAATATTCATCATTTATTATTCAATATTCATATACTGTATAATATAGAATTTGACCATGTTAATTGATGAGTTGACAGTGCATGTACTTTGTAAATACTGTATAATACGTATATTGCTTATAGGATATACTGTAATGAAATATTATTATATGTGGTTGTATTGTTCGGGGTGGGTTTTTAAAAATATTTTTTCATTGTCCACTATTTAACGCTCAAACCAAATATGAAATCTGTTTTTTATTTGAAATATTTTTTGAGATATTTAATTTTAGAGATTTACCAATCAATTTAAACTCAATCAAACATAACACAATTTAAGTTATTAAAACTATTAAGAAGTTACAGTAGAATTACAATTTAAGAACTTATGTTAACCCATAGAATATGATAAAATATAGCCAATAAGCAAATTTGCAGATAGTTAATATTACAATCATATCAAATATACTCAATTCAATCCAATTTGCAATCATTATTTTAATTCGGATAATGTATTGTAATTTCAAATCAGAATCACGTAAAACCAGACATCAAAACATTTACATAACAAAATTGATTAAATTTATACACATTTTCAAAACAAATATAAAGATCTTTAATAAAAACGGTTCCAATTACTTTTGCGATTACTAGGGATCTATTAAAGTGATAATATTTACTATATAGTTTTTTTTAAATATTTGAATACAATTAATTATATCGTTAAATACTACATTAAGTGCTAATAATGTTAGTAGAATTTTTTAAAATCTCATTTTAAACGCAAAATATCGTAAATTAAAATATTGAGTTTTTAAGGTTTTATTCCTATAATACAATTCCTAAAACATACACATTATATGTATAATTAGGAGAAGATTGCGGTATAAAACCGGTATTTTATATAACTGTAAATACTGTATATGAGATACGCAACTTTTGCCAAATTTTCGCATACCTTATATAACCTCTCACTTGTTTCCGCGTCTCAGTTCAGGTCTTCAGCCTCTCATCATTGAATACCTCAATACAAGACTACTTGGAAATTAGTTTCATATTAAGTGACTTAAGTAATGGTTGAGTCGACCATCGGTTCAATTTTACTGCAATTGCAGAAAATATTATTTATAATTTGGACTGCAATTAAAACATATCTCAATGGACCATATTATTCATATCTAGAACTCAACCGCAACTATGGATTATTTGGTAAAATATCAATAATAATTTGATCATTAATTATTTCTAACCTTAATTCTCATAATATTATGATTGCAATAAACAATTTGTTTTTTTATTAACTCAATAGTAATGTCATTAACTTTGTTTTAAAAGTGATAATTGCAATAACGACTTATTAGTTGAGTTTAGTATTAAAAGTGCTGTTATATGACATAATACTGTAAATTTATACATATTGTATTACTTTTATGTAAAGCTGAGTAAACTAAAGTGAATAATTTTTAGAGTGCTACACATTTGGTTTCACACTTTTTATTAAAATTAAAGTTTGTCATCATTTGGGCAGAAACACCGTGTAAAGTTCAATTTAATAGTTTCTCTCCTATTGTTTTAACATGGTTGATTATTATTAAAATTTAAATCATTGGTTTAAGTTAATTATCTTCTAAATAAAATTAATTTATATTTTGCATAACAAAACCGCGTTGTTTTAGGGGACCAAGATAATAAGTTTTCCCCCAATATTTGCATAGTTTAAACACTACTAAATCATTTCATGACATAAACTAAAAAATTATATTGCTAGAAATTAAAACAAAGTTAATAAATTGTATTAAATGGTTTGTAAAAATGTGAACATGTTTTTGATGACATTGTATTTAAAATTAGGCAAAATTCGCAAATTAAGTGTAGAAGATAGCGATATTCCCGCGTCATTGAATGGCAAGGTATGTGTAATCACTGGCGGAAGTCGAGGAATAGGTATGGAAGTAGTGAAGCATTTATTGAAGAAAGGATGTCATGTGATAACCGGCTCATCAGCTAATGAGGATGAGATGCAAAGAAGACGTAACTTAATTGTACAACAATTAGGCGATCAAATGTGCGGACGACTTGATATGTGGTCATTAAATCTGTGTTCAATGGACTCAGTTATGGAATTTATAAGCAAATTCAAACACTCATCACTGGGCGTACATTACTTGATATGCAACGGAGGTGTTATGTTTGCACCTTTTACGCTAACTCAGGATGGATTTGAGACACATTTAGCCATCAATTATTTTAGTCATTGTCTTCTAATTTCTCATTTAATTGACAATTTAGTGGATTCTGGCAAACAATGCGGTCAAAAGTCACGTATTGTATGCGTGTCTTCCGGAGCTCACAGACCGGCAAAAATGCGTTTAAATGACTTACAATCCGAGCGCCTGTTCTCCACATATCACGCGTACGCGCAGTCAAAATTGGCTCAAATCATGTTTGTCTATAAATTCAACGAATGGCTTCAAAGTGTGAGCGAGTGGTCACACTTTGTCACCATAACATGTCTTCATCCGGGCGTCTGTCGCACAGATCTCATGAAAGAATTTAATTTCTTTAATTTAAGGCCCATTCAAGCACTTCCCATATTTCGAGTAAAGTATCATTTCTTCTTAATTGATCAAGACAACTGATCAATTCCATTATACAATTGATCAAATATGACCATGTTTACACATTTTGATTTTATAATCATTGAATTTAGTCGGCAGAAGAAGGCGCTGAGACTACACTTTATGCTACCCTGTCGTCAGAAATTGAAGGAATAAGTGGTGTATATCTAGAGGACTGTTGTGTTAGGACATCAAGTAAACGGTCATACGATAAGAAGATACAGGAATTGCTTTGGAATAACACATGGATTTTGTTGGCTAAATGGATGCCTAATATGTCGTTTGAAATGGTTTCCGAATGCGATAAAGTGCATAATCTTTAGTGCAAATTGTATACTAATCAAGACAATTATGGCACTAATTAAATATTCATCACTACATTTGGAACATAGAGATCCGTTATTGCTAAAAAAGAATAACTTTTTGTTAATATAACATTTTGTGTTAGAGATTGATGTGATTATAGTAAAGTTTACATACATGTATCTATATTTATATACATATGTATGTATATTTCAAAATTAGTAACTCATTATTAATTAATATTACTCCCACTGGTCGCTGGACTAATTTAAATGCGACCACACAACACACCGCATTTTAATAGGGATCACACAGCGATCATATGCGTTAACCCAGGAGGGGGTGGGGGAGGGGTGGCCGAACAAACTTATAAACCACATTATTCATACCTTCTTAGCACTAAACTAATAATATTATGTTAACTTTTTGAACGTTAATTTGATTACATGCAATGGAATCAGTTCCAAGTGATGTTGACATACATGGTCAAATCAGATAAATCTATTCTAAAAATGTAATTTGATTATCAAATGGGAACCAATGTATGGTTTTATGGTGTTTTTTTGTATCAAGTTCATTACAATTTAATCTAATAATATTTCAATCTAATAGACCCTGAATAAGATTTTCACGTATTTTTATTTTACAAACTATGGTTAGTTCTAAATGATGGTTTAATAAACTTCTAAATATTCCTTGTTAAACTAGTTTTAAACTGTGTTTTCTCAGCTTTAATTTTGTTATACTTTGTTATTGAGGATTAAATAATAACTATAAAATGTTGATATAAGCTAAGCCCCATCATATGTTGGAGTTCTGAGTTCTTTGTGTAACACTACTAACACAATCACATCACATCTCATTCTTATCCATTTAATAGCATTTTTACAAATAGTGTCACATTTATAAAATACAATTATTTTATTTAATTACAAATACAGCATGATATATAAAGATATTATCATTGTTTTATTGATATTTCACCTCTTATTTATTTTACTTTAAACATTCAAATCATTTATTCGTTGTATTTAACAGTGAATATTTATTTATAAAAAAAACATTCCAATAAAACTTTTCCAATATCAAAATATTTTTATTGTTTATAAAATCATTTTTTCAAATCTAGTTTAATGTCATATAAAAGTAAATTACTGATCATTTTTAAATATAATTAAAACATGGTATGATCAATGTTTGTCATAATAACTGCCTTGAAATATATGGTCATGCATGGATGTTTGCAATTATAAGTGAATTTCACACATTTGAAGACTTGGAAATTGTTGCAATTATTTCACAATATATTACAATACATGCATTGTATGTAATGGTTGAATCACATGTGTAAGAATCCCAAATTGACATATTATTATTGTTAAAATAGTAAATTTAGAAATATTTTCATATTTAATATCTTTAATAATAAATTATTTGTACAAAATATTACATTATATTAAATTTTATAAATAGTTATTTATGATAAGAATAAAGGAATTGCAATTACAAAGCATGTAAAAACCACTGCAACTACTGTATATGGTGTTAGTTATAATTTAAATTTAACATATCTACATCTCTAAGTACCAGAATCCCAGTTTTCTAAAGTTCTATTCAGTTGTTAACTCACAAGAATTTTTATTATTTATAGTCGGTTTTTTGAAAAATGTACACAAAAATATTTGATCAAAAATTAATCAATTTTTTAAAAATAATTTATTTAAAATCAAAAATACTGTAATAAAAATACAAAAATACTGTAACTGTATTACGTTTAAAGTGATTATTGGGTTATTGAAATTCACTATTAGTTACTGTGCAGTCAGTATGTTTACAAAGAGTGTTGATGTAACAACCCCCGATACAAAGGGGGTATCGATATATTTGTTTACTAGTTGTTTACTCGCGTTGCTTAGCAATTATAGACTCACTTCTTGTA